TATGAGAATTGAAGTCGATTTTGTTTTTTGCTTAAAAATTACTTGTTTAAATATACCGTTAGCGTGCTTTCAAATGCAACTCTAAATACATATGTATGTATTAATTTTAAACGTCTTTTGCTATTTATATAAAAATTTTGTATTTATAATGAATGGCATTTTGCAATGATATCGACTATATGTGGCATCTGAGAAAAGGGTGTCATCGACCAGAAATTTTTTGGCCTCTTAACTAATCCCTTTGCCTTTTTAAGACCTTAAACTATAAGAAACCGCCATAAACCAAATTTCGAGTGTTTTGGTCGATAACATAATTTCCTTGGACGCGATCATATAAGTGCATTAGTATGCACTATATTTTTATGCCTTGGAATATGCATCATTTCAACAAATTCTATTTGACAGTTCCTGAATCGGATTTTGTGTTGGAAACGAAAATGGATGGCGAACAGAGTGGCGTGGACATAATGTGTGCAGTGCAAAATGTGTTTCCCCAACCCATACTATCTGTAATGTAAGTGATCTTATAATTATCTACAAGTCAAGATTCTTAAACGGTGTGGAACGATTTCCCGTCATCCCTTCGTGACAATAAAGAGAGCGCAGCGCCAAAACTTGTTTGTCTCTAAACCAAATTTGGCAAGGGATGACAAAAAATCGTTCCACAATATGTCATAAACCTACCCCGTCAGAGATACCTATACATTTGTGCTTACCTAACATTTACTTAATTCTACTGTAATGTTATTGTTTTGGCTTTTTGTAGATTTGATACAAAGATAATAGATTCAATCCTGACACAAACGGATCAGAATTCAAGTGGTCTGTACAGTACGACAGTCAGGACGCGAATTCCTCGAGATAAATTAGAATCGCCTACACCGATCACTTGTGCATTTTTCCTACTTGGTACTAATTATACCAAGAGGAGAGAAACAATTTTCTATGGTAAGTACAGGTAAGATTTTTTATCACATTCACGCATGCCTAATTTAGAAACTAATTTCAATAGAATATTTTTTTAACACAGTGAATTAGTTTCATATATAACCATTCCGATCTACATACATAGATATACAGACATATAAATACTTGGTTTTCTCTTGGAATAGTCCTGTTCCTTTCACGAATTAACAAATTTGGTCTGGAGACAAACTACATATACATATAGTTTGGTTTCACATTATCTTTTTTATTANACAAATTTGGTCTGGAGACAAACTACATATACATATAGTTTGGTTTCACACTATCTTTTTTATTATAAGTAATAATACATATCACATTGCCAAAACTCTTATCCTGCGATCAAAATGGAAATTAAAACCGAGACGCGACGTACATATATTAAATAATGCATATTGTAATTGTACCTATGTGTGTGAAATATGCAATTGTGTGCTTATTTTTTTCGAAAGCGAAAATTTAAAAACAAACAATTTTTTTAATTTTCTTTTTCAAAATATAGCCTCAGGTATAATTATAATACCCCACAAGTTTTAGTGTGACCTGTTCTAGTTTGGGAGGTACGTAAATTTGTTCACATAAATATACCTCGCACTAAGTATAATGCTACGTGCAGTTTAAAAATTGATTTGGCGCTGATCGCTCTTCACAATCTCCACTCAATTTCTGTCCAATGACGATTTTGTAGACAGTTTGTTTGATGCCCTGGACACTCTGAAACCATATGCTTATATTGCAGTCAGCCGCTTTATTTTAAAAATCTTAGGGAAAATTAGACGAAGAAGAAGTCATCGTCATTTCTATTTCAAATTGTTGTCAAAGCTTGTTATATGTATGTATGTGTAGTATGGAAATTTAATTTTTAAATCTATATATATATATATACTAGCTTTTACCCACAGGTTTCACCCCACGTTTTTATACAAATATGAGAAATACTTTATGTAAAGATGTGTCTAATTTTACTATAGCCGTGATAGCAGAATATCGACTGCTGAGTGGAANAAGATGTTATATTTTATTTCTGCTCTAATTTTACTATAGCCGTGATAGCAGAATATCGACTGCTGAGTGGAAGATCGATCGCTGCCGATTCAAAAACGCTCTATATCAGCACATTTTGAAGTAAGATAGGACGTTTTTGAACCGAATTCCGAGATAGGGTGTTTTTCAATAAAATTCTGAAACAGGGCGTTCTTGAAAAGTTTTTTGAGATAGGGCGTTTTCGAACTGGCTGCCGAGATAGGTCGATCTTCCACTCAGCAGTCCATATGGTAGGTTGTATAACTTTGGTGTTATGGAATGAAATGCAATAATAATTTTTTGACACCGCAGATATTTTTATTTAGGTTGAAATATCTCCGACAAATTATATAATAGAAAAAATACCAATGTTGTAATATCTAAATATTAACTATCTAATTTCATACGAATATTAACTCGNATAGGGCGTTTTCGAACTGGCTGCCGAGATAGGTCGATCTTCCACTTAGCAGTCCATATGGTAGGTTGTATAACTTTGGTGTTATGGAATGAAATGCAATAATAATTTTTTGACACCGCAGATACTTTTATTTAGGTTGAAATATCTCCGAAAAATTATATAATAGAAACAATACCAATGTTGTAATATCTAAATATTAACTATCTAATTTCATACGAATATTAACTCTTATATCATTTCACAACATGTTTTTAATACTTCAAAGCATCAATTAACATAAATGCATTTTAAAATGCAATTATATTATATTATATTGTCATTGCAGAAGCTAATCGAACTGGAAGCTGAAGTCTTTTAAATTCGAAAGGGGTCATGTGACTTGTGCTTTCGAAGTTATGGCTGATAAGAACGTCCACGCCTATAGATATTATGTGCTACGCCCCCATTTACAAACTCATATATATATACATATATACCTTACTTTAAGCATACCAAATTTAGATTTTATGTGGCTTATGGTTCCGAAGTTCCACGACTATGAGCGCACCACCTACAAAGTCATTTATGNTAAGAACGTCCACGCCTATAGATATTATGTGCTACGCCCCCATTTACAAAGTCATATATATATACATATATACCTTACTTTAAGCATACCAAATTTAGATTTTATGTGGCTTATGGTTCCGAAGTTCCACGACTATGAGCGCACCTCCTACAAAGTCATTTATGTATAAGCACCTACCATAGATATGTCTGCATACCAAATATCAAGTTCATGTAACTTATGGTTCCAAAGTTATAGCTGATTAAAAATTTGCAGGCCTATGGGAGGTGCTACGCCCCATTGCAAAATCGACGCCATATTTGCAAATAAAACCATTCCTATAACCTTCCCGAGGTAAAAACAAATAAGTGTGCAAAGTTTCGTGCGATTCCGTGTCGTGGTTCAAAAGTTATAAGGTAATAAACAAACAGACATTCACATTTATATATGTATACTAGCAGAGCACCCGACATCGTTCGGGGTAATTAAATCGAAATATAAAACAGTAATACAAATATTCAGATCAGCATAAATTAGAGCAGAAAAACTATTTTCTTTTATTTCTAAATTATGGCATCCTTATGAGCCATACTTTAAGATTTATCGTACTTTAACTAATATACATATATTGATCACCACTTTCTGTACTAAAAATCTTGTTCCATTATTAATATTAGCTGGATTAAGGTAACGATACAAATTTTAAATTAAAATTTGTCGGCTGTGGTACATTCCGTTTAGTTTCCTATTCGCTTAGCTGTTTTAGGGCCGGTTACTCAATGTCTGGTTAATACTAATCTGCGGTTAAACATCGTTGTCGACCTCTTCGGACTCCATGCATACAACAGGGAGTCGGTAACGTCGATAACTATGTTTAACCGGTGTTACGGCCCTTAGTATAGCTGCATGTTTCCTGTAGAATGCTTATTTCAGAAAAAGATTTATTCGTTATACATGCACATGTTTCGTTTAACAGCATCGCGGGATCAATAAAATGTTTAATCTTTCCATTTCAAGATGGTCTAAAGACTGTAAGGTTTCAAAAAACACAGTTTTAAATATCCGACTTTTCTAATAGTTGAATACATATTTATCCCGCTTTTACAAACACATTTATATATACTTTATTCTAAACACCTCCCATACATATGTCTGCACACAAAATTTCAGGTTCATGTGACTTATGGATTCCACTTTATGGCTGGTTAAAAATTCCACGCCTATGGGATGTGACACATTCCCTTTTAGAAACCCATTAATATATATCTTACTATAAAAACCTACCAAAGATATGTCTGCATACGAAATTTCAATTTCATGTGACTTATAATTTTAAAGTTATAGCTGATAAAAACTTCCACGCCTATTGGATGTGCCACGCCTCCTTTTAAAAACTCACTTATATATATCTTTTTATAAGCGTGTACCATATCTATACCTGCATACCAAATTTCAAGCTCGTGGGGCTTATGGTTCCGAAGTAATAGCTGATAAAAAATTCCACGCCTATGGGATGTGCCACGCCCCCTCTTACAAACTCATTTATTTACATCCTACTATAAGCACCTACCAGACGGGATGGCCCACCTCCTTTTACAAAATCCTTCAAATATACCTTCCTATAAGCACCTTCCGTGGATATGCCTGTATACCAAATTTCAAGTCCATGGGGCTTATGGTTCCGAAGTTATAGCTGATAAAAATTCCACGCCTATAGGATGTGCCACGTCCCCTCTACAAACTCATTTATATATACCTTATTATAAGCACCTACCGTAGCTGTGCCTGCATACCACATTTCAAGTTCACGGGGCTTATGGTTCCGAAGTTACACCTGATAAATATTTCACGCCTATGGGATATGCCACGCCCTCTTTTACAAACTCATTTATATATATCTTATTATATGCGCCCACCATAGATATGTCTGCATCCCAAATTAAAAGTTCATGTGACTTATGATTTCGAAGTTATAGCTGATAAAAAATTCCACGCCTACGGGATGTGCCACGCCCCGTCATATAAACTCATTCATATACACCTTACTCTAAGCACCAACCGTAGCTGAGTCTGCATACCAAATTTCAAGTTCATATGACTTATGATTTCGAAGTTATAGCTGATAAAAAATTCCACGCCTATGGGATGTGCCCCGCCCCATTTTATAAACTCATTCATATACATCTTACTATAAGCACCTACTGTAGCTGTGCCTGCATACTAAATTTCCAGTTCATATGACTTATGATTTCGAAGTTATAGCTGATAAAAAATTCCCCGCCTACGGAATGTGCCACGCCCCCTTTTATAAACTCATTCGTATACACCTTACTATAATCACCAACCGTAGATGTGCCACGCCCCGTCTTATAAACTCATTCATATACACCTTACTCTAAGCACCAACCGTAGCTGAGTCTGCATACCAAATTTCAAGTTCATATGACTTATGATTTCGAAGTTATAGCTGATAAAAAATTCCACGCCTGTGGGATGTGCCCCGCCCCCTCTTATAAACTCATTCATATACACCTTACTGTAAGCACCAACCGTAGCTGAGTCTGCATACTAAATTTCCAGTTCATATGACTTATGATTTCGAAGTTATAGCTGATAAAAAATTCCCCGCCTACGGAATGTGCCACGCCCCCTTTTATAAACTCATTCGTATACACCTTACTATAATCACCAACCGTAGATGTGCCACGCCCCGTCTTATAAACTCATTCATATACACCTTACTCTAAGCACCAACCGTAGCTGAGTCTGCATACCAAATTTCAAGTTCATATGACTTATGATTTCGAAGTTATAGCTGATAAAAAATTCCACGCCTGTGGGATGTGCCCCGCCCCCTCTTATAAACTCATTCATATACACCTTACTGTAAGCACCAACCGTAGCTGAGTCTGCATACTAAATTTCCAGTTCATATGACTTATGATTTCGAAGTTATAGCTGATAAAAAATTCCCCGCCTACGGAATGTGCCACGCCCCCTT